CCGCATCGCCCTCCCCCCTCAGCAGAGGGCCCCCCCGCATCACTCCCCCCTCAGCAGTGGGGGCCCCCTCGCATTGCCTTCTTCCCCAGAACTGGGGGGCCCCCCACATCACCTTCCCCCTCAGCATTGGGGCCCCTGCATCGGCCTCAGCACTGGGGGGGCGCATTGCCCTCCTCCCTCAGCACTGGGGACCCCCCACACTGCCCTTCTCCCTCAGCATTGGGGGAGCACCCTCTTGTCTCTCCCTCAGCACTGGGGAAGCACCTTGCATCACCCTCCTACCCCCCAGAACTGGGGGGCCCCCCACATCACCTTCCCCCTCAGCATTGGGGCCCCTGCATCGGCCTCAGCACTGGGGGGGCGCATTGCCCTCCTCCCTCAGCACTGGGGACCCCCCACACTGCCCTTCTCCCTCAGCATTGGGGGAGCACCCTCTTGTCTCTCCCTCAGCACTGGGGAAGCACCTTGCATCACCCTCCTACCTTCCTCACTCGGCACTGGGGAGCTCCCCCCCACATTCTTCTTCTCCCTCCCTCAGCACTGTGGGGACACCCTCCGCATCCTCCTTTCTTCTCCCTCAGTACTATGGGGTGCTCCTTCAATGCCCCCATCTCTCTTCTCTCCTCTCAGCACAGATGAAGCTCCCTGCATCCATCCTCCTCCCTCTATCAGTACTGGGGGGAGCCCCCTCTCGCATCCCCTTTCTCAGCACTGGGGGAAAGAGACTCCTCACATTTCCCTGCTTCTTCCTCCAGCACTGCGTGGGGTTTTATGTATTTCCCTGATGTGAGCATTGGGAGATGCAAGTGACCCTCATTTCCTTCCCTCTGCCCCATACCATGCAGGGGTGGTCACCATTCTTCCCTAATAGTGAAGCTAACTCCTGATTATTGCTATTTATTTCTTATCTCCCCAGGGCTGCCCTGAGAGCCCAAGCCTCTGCTCCAGAAGCCACCTGTATTTTAGCTATGGCCTCCCTCCCCTCCATGTATTAGTGGGATGACACCCTTTTAAAAAATCCTCCTGTGCTGGGGTACCCAACAACCCAAATCCCCTTTTCCAGCCTTGCATGTATTGGGTGTGTAGCATATGCCCTTGTTTCCCAGAGTTGTTGGCATATGGAAGCACTGGTCCCAGGCAATGATTTACGATTCTTTGCTAGTCCTGCAGCTGCAAAGGCCTAAGCTAGTGTTCAAATACTTGCATGATTAAAATTCAGTATGGGTATAGGTGTTGTCAGGATCAGGATCCAATTTGTTACTGGAGGAGGGTGAAACACTCTTTTGGAGATGTTTTCAAAAGGAGTGTTTTTATGTACCAGTGCAAATGCCAGTATAGACTTTTGGGATTTGGTTTAAAATGGGTGTATTTTAGTTTAATTGAATATGTTTGTTTAATTTTAGTTTAATTAAATATGTTCCTGATTGCCTGAGCTAACGAACTAAGCTTGGTTATGGTAAAATCAGTGTCTATATGGCTTTTTCTACTGCTTTTTCTAAATTGGTTTAAAATCACCCCTTAAACCATTTAATTCTGTGTGTAGACAAGACTTCTTTCTTCTTTATATGGTGTTTGTTTTTAGAGAGAAATATTGTTGTCCAGCTGCCACCAGGCACTAACTGTGAGTATAAAATACCAAGTGCTCTCATGTTGCTGAACCTGAGAGCTGGGCGTTTGGGGGGGGGGGGTAGGAGGGAGGATTTTGCCAGGAAGTGCCTCATAAGTACTGAGTTACAGTAGACTGCCCTCTTTCCAATTAGTGGCTAGAGTAAGATGGACCAGTGATTAGCATGCTATCCTAAGATAGTAGAGACCTGGGTTCAACTTCCTACTCTCACAGACCTTCTGTGTGACCTTGGGCAAGTCATTTTATCTCATTTTGCCAGAGTCCCATGTGTTATCTATAACCACTGACTTGCCTCACAAGGGTGTAGTGAGGATATTATGTTCAGATAATGGAGGCCAGATATCTATCTGGGAGAGGTCTAGGTTGGATATTATGAAAAACTATTTCACTAGGAGGGTGAGCAAAGCCGCCCAGGCAAACGAGCCAGGCGGCGGCTTTGCTCGGGTGTCCCTGGTCTGCTGGGGGGGGTCCAGCGGCTTTGCTGGACCCCCCAGACCAGGGGGACAGGAGCAAAGCCACAAAGCACGCCCGCAGGGGGACAGCTCAAGCGCGCCCGGGCTGTCCCACTGACCAGCAGACCAGGGAGATGGGGAGCAAAGCCTCGGAGCACGCCAGCAGTGGGACAGCCGCGGCGCGCCTGGACTGACCTGCTGCCCGCGAGTTCTGCGGCTTTGCTCCGCGTCTCCCAGGTCAGCAGACCAGGGAGACAGAGCAAAGCCGTGGAGGACTTGGGCAGTTCCGCCACCCCCATCTCCCTGGTCTGCTGGGGGAGAGGGGTGCAGCTAGTGCCCCCCCCCCAGCAGACCAGCTA